TAGGTATGTATATATATATATATATAATTTGCTATTCCTCTTTTAAAAATTTTTTTGTCTCTCTCCATGAACATTGCAGCCAGGATGTCTATGTCTTGCTGACAAATCCAGCATGAGGGCTCCTTCTCCGCTGTTCTCCAGGTCTGAATACAGATGCCAACCTCCATGAACATGTTGGTCAAGATTCCTGTACAAGGCAGATGGAAATGACCTGTCATGGGGTGCTGACTTCTTTGGATATAAAAGGGGTTTTCTTTATATGAGGGCACTGGACAGTAAATCTGCAAACACTTGTGGCCACAGTTTGCACTTAATTACCAGCACCTCTGGTAATTAGCAGGAACTCTTAATTCAGTGGGCTGGTGGTTGTGTATGGGGAAGATAATGGTGAGTCACTGCTCCCTTACTTTAAGCCATTCAGTTACAATTGTGTGGCTCCCTAAGTGATGCAGAAGTGTCTGGGCTTGCTAGCTTCTACTGTGTGACAGGAGATAAGACTAGGCAGATGTGAGAGCCTCTTCTGATCTTCCAAGCTGCAATAGAGATGGTCACCTTCCCAAGCTTAAAATCTGCCAATCAAAATCTTCATATGATAAAGAAACACAAAATCACATTTCCAAAGAGGCCTCTCAAAATGCACCTGCAGCCTGGCTGGTGACAGAGCTCCTCACACATTTTTCAGCAGTGAAGCTGCCTTCAGAAGCTTCCCCCCTCCTTTCCACCATGCTGCTCTGCCCCTCAGCTCCTCTGATACAGGTCTATTGCACTGTGCCACCAGCGAAGAGCTGCAGCAATCTGGCTGATGGGCCAGCAATGGGCTCAGAGCTGGGGGCTAAGAGCTGGGCAGGAAGAAAAATGTCTGGAGCTGTGACTACTTTGGGGCATCTGCAGGAGGTGCAAACCTTGTGTGCTGCTGCCTGCACCTGCGTATGTATAAAAAGACAACCTGAGGATCTGAATGAGTCTAAAGAAACCTCTTCCTTTTTGCAAACACTGGTATGATACTTTGGACTGGCTTTGCAGAGCCTGTAGCCAAGTTGCTTGGCCCATCCACAAAACTGGTATCACCTCTTTCTCTCCCTGCCCCAGGAGGAGGAGCAGGTTCTTTCTTCTGTATGTCATCTGTCATCTGCAAATGACTCTGACTCCTCTGCTGAGCAGGACAGCAAGGTGACGTCTGAAGAACTGCTTTTGGTGGCATGGCACTGGATCAGAGACACTTGCCCAGTTACATCCACCCCTTACACAGCAGGCATAAATCATACCTGGTAATTTCACCTACCTGAGGTTTCTTGTCCCTTTCCTCTGGAGAAGGTTCTGTTTCTCTGTACACCACAGCTTTGGTTACCAGCATGTCAGGATGCTGTAGTTTTGCCTCTTTGATTGCTAAAGCCAGTGCCTAGAAACCAGAAGGATGAAAGCATTTATTGCCACTTCCCTGAAATCTGGTACCTTGCTCTCAGGCAGACAAAACCAGCGGACAGAAAGCAGCTGGAGCTGAGTGGGATTCCAGGAGGACACAGACGCAGGGGTAAAAAGCTGAACCCACAGTAGCCTGGCAGAAGAGGGAGGAGCCCACCACTGACTGGGGATTTGTACACCATTGAGATGACTCATGCACTGCCTTTATCTTACTGTTTTTTTTTCTGTAGAGATGCACAATGTCCCAGGCTGCCTGCTGAAAGCCAAGCAAAGGACCAGCAGCAATCCTCTCTGCAGCAAAACCCTAGAAAAATCTACAATAATAATCTAACTAAATTTATTATTATAATTCTAAAAAACCCTAGAAATTATTTTAGAGCCTTTTAAATATTTTAGCTCTTTAATTTTGCTTCCTAAGCAACAAATCCCAAAGGGTTAGGCATGGGAAAATGACCCTGTGACCCTAGAGATTTGTGTCAATGTCTTTATTTCGTCATAGAAGTCTGTCACTTTTTGTCCCCGTATCATGGAGGCAGATGCAAAACACCATCACTTGGAGTAAGCCAGCCTGTAGTGAGACTATGCTGGAAAGAGAGGACGAACCTGGGTCACTTTGGAGTATTTCAGCAGAGGAAAGGGAACTGGAAACATGTTTCAAGAAAATAAAAAGGTGATTCCATCACTGCGCCCTGTGCTGGGATGGAACCTTCACTACCACTTCACTGCTGCAGCAGGCACTGAAGGGAGCTGGGCTGGGGCTTCACGTGGGTGCCACTGCACCCCGTGGAGACCTGCACTGCTGGACAGAGCTGGTAGGTTTGGGGCCTCTGTTTTTGGAGAGAAAGAGTGAACAGGTATGAGCCAGAATCAGAAGCATGCGGTGCTGCAGCCAGAGCCGGGCAAAGCCAGGGTGTCCTGCTCCTACCTGGTCCTGGTCCACGTCTTCGTCTCCTGTGATAATTATGCGCTTCTCTATCCGGGTCTCAGAAAACCCTCCTTTCACAGTCTGCACAAGAAGAAGGAAAGCTCTCACCCACAGCTGTCTGACAAGCTAGCTCCTGCCAGATGTAGCTCTGCCCATGGGAGGAGGGACACCACCAGCATCACCTTAGGAATTCCCCCATAATTCAGCATATTTCCCACTACCCTTGACTGGTTGCATGGTTAGAGCCACCAAGACACAGCTGGCCACAGGTGGGGAGGAAAGGAAAAGGGCTGGGTGGCAGGTACCGAGCACCCTTCCTTCCTGCTTAGGTCCCTCACTCAGCTCCTACTTTTTGTGCACTTAACTTGGGAATGAATGAAATGGCCATGGGTGAGGTCCTCTGACGCAGCTTCAATCTCCTTTGTTTCCTACCATCGCTGCCGTTGCCTACGCAACTCCAACTCTAATAAAGCAAATACACCCCACGCTAACACGATTCCCAGAGCTGACACAAGGTGACATGCTCCAGCGCTGGTGCTGTGGGCTTCTTGGGCCCGGGGCACCGAGGGTGTGACTCTAGATACATCTGGGAACACTCACCCCAGTTGCATGGACAGGGACTCACATGCACACCGCTGGCAGCCTAATTTGATGTTCCTTCAGGAGGTCAGTGACACTGTGCGCTGCTCTTCCTTCTCACCCGATGACTCCCTGCCCTCCCAGTCTAGCAGTGAGCAGAGGGGGGCACAGCATGTGTTAACAGCCCCCATGGGTGGTACACAAGTGATGAACACCCAATGCCTGTCTGTCCTTGCCTGCCGTCCCCCCAGTCATGCCCAGCTGGATGGGACAGACAGCACAGCAGGGCTCAACCAGGCATGGGGTGCTCAGAGCGAGCCAGAATGCTGTGCTGGCTCACCATCCTCCATGGCACAGCATACATTTTTTTGGTTTGTTAGGAGGACATGGTCATTTCCTGCTGTACCAACCACAATATAAATCCACCCACTCTCAAATTCCAGTGGCTTGCATCAGGGACTCCCCTGCTGCCCCCCTTTAGAGCTGCTCTTACCTTGGTAACATGGGTAGTGGTAGAAGTGGAGAGGGTTTCTGCAGTGGCACTGAATATGCTGGCAAGCACTTCCTTCCCAGTGGAGCCGCTGGTGATCTGCAGGACAGAGAGTAGCAGCATCAGAGGGACTGCTGCAGGGGAACCCCCAGTCCTGGGTCCCAAAGAGCTGGGACCTTCCCTCTGGGATGCACTATTAAGCCAAGCATGAGAGGGGAGAGTGGCAAGGGAAAAAAAAGACACTGCTTTCCACTGGACTGAGGTTTTTTTGGGGGGACAGGGAGAGGTTTCCACATCTACCCAAAGCCCAGAGCAGCAGGAAAGGGACTCTGCAGAGGGCACATGGTTTCATGGCTGTATTTTGCTCTTCCCGACCCATCCTCAGGGCCACCCTAAGTGCAGAGCTCTCAGACTACCTCTGGCTTTGTCCATCCCGCTTTGTGTGGCAAGGGCTGGGAAGGCTGTGCTGGTGCCCCAGCCTCACAGTACTTGGTAAGTTCTCCCTGCTGCACAAGTGATGAAGCTGGGGCAGCACGTGGCGTTTGGCCAGGCTTGACTCCCTCGAAAAAAGGCAGTCAAGTAAGAAAACACTTTACACAGTAAGGTCTGCTGCTGGGTTGCTGATGGCCATCACCTCCACTGGGAGTCAGGAGATATGCTTGTGGCCCTGAGGGGCAAAGCAAGACACACAGGGCTAAAGATATCTCAGGCCACTATGAGACTTCACCAGGGACTGAGCTATTTTTAGCAATTATCCTCCCTTAGTGGATGCTCAAGGTGTGGATCTGGCACAGGAGAAAGGCCACAGGGTCCCCTGCCATCTCAATCCTCAACCTTCTGAGCATCCTTCTGCTCTTCTCAGTACCAACACACCAAGGGTGCTGGTGCTGGGACCATGGGAAGGGGCCCTGTGGGATCAACCCCAGCTTGCCCCCAGCTTTACAGGGCTGCCTCCCTCCCTCACCACCACCTGGCCTAACTGGTGGCACCACATCCCCCCTCACCGGTGAGAGGGAGCGAAGGTCTGTTGCAGGAACGGCCCCTTTCCCAGCCTTGGTGCTGTGATCCTGAAAGAAGAGCAGATGGGTGCATTGGTTCAGGTGCAACACAGGGACAAACATAGCAGGTCACCCTCCACAGACATCCTCAGTAGGGCAGGGTCCCCCCCCAGCACAGCTGGCCCCAGTTGCCCTCACCAGAGCAACTGGGACTGCAGGGGACAGCGACTGCCCCACCTCTCAAGGGGCCAGCCCCACTTACTGAGGTCGCCAGTGCAGTCTCTGCGGTGCCAGCATGAGCAGTGGCCGTGGTGTCCCTGCTGCCCAGGGTGCCTCCTTCCACCTGTCAAGGCAAAGGAAACCTGGTAAGCCTGGAGGTGCCAGGGGGGTGATACTCGCAGGGACAGTGCGGCCACCCTTGTTGCCAGAGGAAGCCCACAAGGGCCATAAGACCATGGACATGTGCATGTATGGTGGCCAGCACTCTCTGGAAACATTTCCATGTGCCAGCACTGCCCAGCAGCATGGCAGACAGGGCCAGGGACGGACACGGAATATTTGTGTGGGCTTTGGTTGATGTTCTGGGGACTCCAGCAAGACAAGGGTGAGCACAGGCCTCTAACTGCCCCACTCAGCCACCTGCTCTCCAAGTGAGCCTGCCTGGGGTCAGGTTTTGCTGGATTGAAGCTTGGCAGAGCCTTCAGGGAGCAGGGCCACAGGAGGACGGAGACACGTTGTCACCTGGGCTGTGTCTGTGCTGCCGACCTGGTGGGGAGTGGAGCCATCTGCTTCAGGCTTCTTCATGCCCAGCCCAAGGCCAATGGTCACAGCATCTGTTTTCAGGGCTGAGGACTGCAGAAGAAACACAGCCATCAGGTACTGGGGCACGATGCCAACAGCCCTGAGTGCTCCTTGTGCACCAGCCCCCATGAGCAGAACATCCCTGCCCCACTCCTCTGCAAGTGCCACACGTGTGACATCCTGCAAGCGTCATGCCAAGCCCTACCTGGGCAAAGAGCAGAGGCCAGCCTGCTGCACAAGGCCGACAGCCACCATACGAAGTGCCCTGTGTGACTGACATACCCCAAAACAGACCTGATGCTCTGTCCCTGGGGTTTTCAGGGATTTTTTGTATTCATTTTTAGACACCATGGGTTAGGTCAAACTGCTCTTCAAAAGGTGGGTGAGACCCACCAAATCCATTTCACTCGCACCCTGCATCAGCTTTATGCTCTGCACCAGCTCCTGGCAGCTGTGGTTACACCCAGGGTGTCAGAAGCTCAGGGGAATGGAGACAGGTTTCCAGCACTCCCCCACTACAGGACACTGGAGCTGACACAGGCTCCTGCACAGGGGATGTTTTAGCCAGTACTCAGCATTCCTGAGCCAATGGCCTCCCCTGTCCAGCGCCAGCCATGGGGTACCGCAGAGCTAATCACCCATGCCCACAGCCCCACTGTCACCCTGGAGCCCACGGTGTTGGATGCTCCGCACAAGGGTTTCCAGGCTGGTTTGGCAGAAGTTCCCTCTCATTCTACAGTTTTTCCCTGACTCCAGGTCTGGACTCACCCTGGCAGCTCCAGGACGCCTTGGGTACTTACCTGCCAGGGCTGGAGGGCTGCTCCGGCACTGACCAGGCAGGAGATGGCCTCGGCCCAGTGCAGAAGCAAGGCTGTGTTTTATCCCAGCTAGGGCTGTCTCTACTGTCCTCTCGCTGTGGTGTACACTCAGCTCCCACATGCATACTGCATGCATTTTTCTTAGCCCCATTACAGTCACTCCTGACATAGGAGTCACCCTCCATGAGCTTTGGAGAGGCTCCCGCAAGCTACTGTGTAAATCCCTCCCAGCCCCAGCATGATCACAGAGGTTAGTTGGCAGCACATTTCTCTTCACTACACAAACTCGTCACTGACTTCATGCAACACACAAGGACAGAGCCGTGGGTTAGTGACATGTGCCCTTCCCAGCTGCTGACATGCCGTAGTGATGTGAGGGACAGGGTAGGCAGCCAAACGCAGGGAACTAAGAGATAATGATGACTTCTGGTTAGCAGATGCACAAAACACACAAGAGAGCCATGCACAGACGACAATGTGCACTGGAGGAGAACAGCTACACTGGACAGGAACCTGGGGATGTTTGAAAGCCAGCATGCTCTTCCACACCAATGTGGGACACTTGTGAGACAATACCAGGCACCAGGACAAAGAACACAGAGGCGCGATGGCACTGAGAAAGTCTTGATGGAAAGGCATCCCTGTGTACCTCTAGCTGGGAGACATCTGGGCTGAGCTGAGAGACCTTCTCACCGCCTTTGACACCCTCTTCCAGTCCAGTAGCTACTTTGTCAACGTGCTGGAAGGAAACCAGGCCTACGTCTTCCATTTCACTCTTGTCCTTGTCCAGCTCAGGCAAGCTCCGGGAGATGTCCTCAAAGGCTGTGCCGTGGAAGTCACCGATCACCGTGAAGTCCACCTCTGCTTCAAGGCTGGAGGTTGAACTGACTGTGATGCTGGAGCACTTGCGCTCAATGGCCAGGTGGTTGTCCTTCAGAAAGACCGAGTCCTTCTCCTGGTCCTGCTCCTCATCGCCAGTGTCACTCTCGGGAGCCCTGTGCCGAGGTGGTTTAGCTTTCTCCTCGGTGCCCTCCCTCAAGCCCGCTCTCTGAATGAGACAGAATGGCGGAGAGAGAAGGAGACAGTGAGCACCGCATGGTGTGGCAGTGCTGGCAGTGCCGACAGTAGAGAGGGGAGGAGAAGGAGAAAGAAGGCTGCAGCAAACACCACAGAGTAGAGTCAAACACAACTCAAGCATGGAGACTGAAACCTTTCTGACAGCAGCCACTTTGCAGGGGTGGGGTGGGGAGAGAAGGGTTATTCAATCTGATTGTGCCAAAAGTCTATTGGCAATTAATCTTCTCAAAAAAGGGTCAGTCACACAGAAAAGCTCAGCCAGCTTGGAGGCACACCAGTGCACCGGGTGGAAGCAGATGTATGCAAAACAAGAGGTCTGTTAAGAGACATTCAGAAACAGCTCAGACACCAGTGCTATCATATGTCAGTAAGGTTGGGCACTCAAAAAAACCCTAAACAAACAAAGGGAAAGAAAAAGAGAAGAGTTGGAAAGAAAAGGGCCCCATCAGCCACGCACAGTGAAGGAGAAGCGAAGGAGTGTGCCAATTCCACTGAGCATCTGCATGGGCCCTGTGGAGCATCACCCCAAGGGAGGGAGGACCACCGCCTATGGGGCCATCACCCCCCTGCCCTTGCTGGCAGGGAGTGAATCTCCCACCAACACACGCTCCCTCTCCAGAGGCCTCACACAGCCAGGGATGAGTCTTAGGGTTTAGAGTTTGGTCAGTGTAATTGACAGCACAATCAGAGCCAAGGGACGAACTCCCTCCGTTAGCTCTTCTCCAGACATGGACATACCTCTCAACTCCACCACCAGCGGGTACATTTCCCCTCACCATGCTTTGCCATCAAGCCATGGGAAATCTAGACCCATTGGCGGACTTTGCATCTCACTCAAGGCTCCCTTAGGAACAGCTCTAAGCCCACTGATGCCAGAGGAAACCCACCTCCTGGACTCTGGTCCAAGTGTTTGGAGCCAGAGCCATGCCCACAAAGGGCCAGGCTGTGCTGGCACAACCTTCCCGTGGCACTGATGGGAGGTTGAGAGGTATGAGAAACAGGGTGTCAAACAAACTCAAGAGGAACACGCCTGCATACATGTTTGTGTGTGTGTGTGTATATATAAATATATACATAACAGCTCTGCAATGGGGAGAGGAGCTGGAAGCACACAGCCCTCAGCTGGTTAAGGTGAGCTTTCAAACTACGGTAAGAAGCAGTTAGTAAAACAGCACTGAGACCTGGAAGACCACTGGAACAGCAGTCTTTAAATTCTCTTCTTTCAATCTGGATTTTACTGATGCGTCAGATAAATCCTTTTCTTCCCCACTTGGTTCCTGAGATTTGCTCTGGATTAGAGAAAATGGTTAGTTGTAAGGAAATGAACTCTACAGGAGCTGATCTAGCACTTACAAGAGCAAAGAAAGCTATTTCATCCATTTTCAGCCACCAGCTTGCTGAAGACAGGGAAGGGTGGATGAGGCCGGCGAGCTAAGCAAGAAGGGATATCAACGGAAGAAATGCAAGGGTGAAGCTGGAAGCGTGGGCACGCTGCTGCTAGGCATGTGTGCATATCTGTGACAGAGTCGCAGCTCCTTCAGCCACCCCCCATCTCCCTCTTCCTTGCTCCTGGCCATGAAGCTTGGGTGCCCGCTCTCAGGTTTAGCAAGAGGGAGGCTCTCCAGGGAGCCAAAATGTCGTGGAGGGAGGGTGTGGGGTGTGTTCACAAAACAAAAGCTGATGAACCAACTGGCCAGCAGGTCTGCATTCAGCAAATAAGCCTGACCACATACACATACATAAAAGGACAGAGATGCAAAGCAACTGCTGTCAGTCAATGGATGTGTGAGGAGCCACTGAACATGATAATAAAGAGCCACACAACATGCGCATGAACTTTCCGTCCGGACAGTTCATTGGAAGAGTTACCACGGCTTCTGCCAGTGTGAGTTCGCAGCCAGAGTCAGGGGAGGCCAGGTCAGCACTGTCTTCTCCTTCATGCTCCATGTCAACAGAAACATCTTCCTTCAGAGAGAGAAGCTGGGATGTGTCTCCTGCCCCAGCCCCTTGCCCGAGGGCCAAGGAGCCCACACTGGATGCAGGTCCCACCAGGGTGACCGGCACCGCCGGCAGTGAGGTGAGGTCTGTGTTCAAAAGCATGTCCTGTGCCAGGCCCATCATCCCCTTTGCTTTTGCTGCTGTCACAGCTTCAGGCACATGCCTGGGCTGTCCCTCGTGGGCTGCCCTTCGTTCTGCTTCGCTTTGCTCAAACATCTTAATCTTAGAGGCCACTGAGATTTTGCTGTAGCTGTTGCTGTGCTGCCAGCTACTTGGAGTTCCATTGCCATGCTCCTGGGACACAGCTGCTGTCCTCCCAGACACACACATCAGCGACCCAGACTCTACTGTTTGATGTGTCCCACTGCTCACTTCCAGCTCTTCCCTACCTTCACAGATCAAGGCAGAGAGATGGTACATCTTGCTTCCTTGACACAGTCCTGCTACAGAGGAGTAGGAGTTTGGGACATCAGCAGCTCCTTTGGGAGGAGACTGATCCTGTGCTGGCTGCCCTGGAACAAGGTCACCTGCTGAAGGGCTCCTGCCTTGAAGATCTTGTCCCACATTATACTCCAGTTCCCAGGGTGACTCTTGTGCTTTGGGATCTGCAGTGTGGAACAGCTCTCCAGTCACAGGACTCTCTTGGGGCAGGTCTCTTATTATGGCCTCAGTCTGTTGTTCTAGTTCTTCTGCCTTGGGAGTGAGCTCTTCCATGCAAGGGCTTTTGTCCTGGGACAATTCCTCCATCCCATACCATTCATCTCCAGCCAGCTTCCCTGATGTGGGTCTTATGTGCTCGGAAGGCTCTTTTATCATGGGCTTCTCCTCCTGGAGTGGCTCTTCTGTGGCACAGACTTTGCTCTGGGTTGCCCTTGCTGTGACAGGGTCCATGTCCTGGGCCACCTCCCCTGTGTCCTGGTTTCTGACCTGAATCAACTCTACTGCAGTGGCTGTGTTTTGGGGTGGTCCTCCTGCAACAGGACTTGCACCTTGGTGTGGTTTCCATGTAGGAGAGCCCATGTCTTGGGGTTGTTCTTCGGATTCAAGATTGGTGCCCCTGGCTATTGCCACATCTGCTACAGGGCTTGCGTCCTTGGGTGCTCCTTTGCCTACTACAGGGCTTGCCTCCTTGTGTGCCACCTCTGCCAAGGGGTTCACATCCTTGGCTATGCCCACACCTCTTACAGGTCTTGTACCGTGGGACAGGCCTCTGCCCTCAGACTCAGTGCCTGGAGCTGCCGCTGCAGGGACAAGGCTGGATTGCTGGGGAAAGGGCATAGGGGCAGCAGTGCTAGGTTCATCCCCCTCCGATGCTGTGGTGTCATGAGAGTGACCCTGCCCAGGCACAGCTGATGGAGGTGACTTGGTATCTATCTCTTCCATCTGAAGAACCACTCTGGCACTTTCCTCCTTGTCACCATCTGCTCCAATCCTTCCTGAGAGCCCTTCCAGTGCTGTGCAGATGTCCAGGCTCTGTACGGGGCTCCCTCTGTGCTCCTCAGCCCCGTGGCTGTCCCCTGGCAGGCTGCACGGCTTCACACCTCCCACTGGTTTTTGCAGATCTGTCTCCTCTGGTTCCAGCTCTTGGGAACACAGCAGGGCTTCACCTCCCTCAGGTGCTTTGCAGCCTGTCAGCCCAGCAGATTCTTTCCCTTGCTGTAAGGGCAGCCCTTCTTCCTGCCCTGAAGTAGGATGTTGCAGCAGGCTGGTCCCATCACAGCCTGTCCTGGGCTGCTCCCGAGCTTCAGCAGGTTTTCCAGACAGTGCCCTGTATTGCTGACTTGCTGAGGAAGGGTGTTGGAACCCTTCTGCTGCAGGTGCCACTTGCCTGGATCCCTCCTCAGATGCGTTCACAGTGGCTTCTGGTCCATCCTCCAAGCCAAGCTGTCCACCAGACTCCAAGAGCAGGTGTGTTCTACTGTCCTTCTCCTCTCCCTCTACACCTCCTAAGTATATGATCCTCTGGGTCACAGAAGTCTCTGAGCTGTCGTCACTAGCCTTCACTTTAATTTTAATGAGCTCTATGGCCGCAGCTGGCACTCTGGCCTCCTGCTTCCTGGAGGCTGCAGAAGCATGGTCCTTGGAGACCGCCTCGCTTTCTCCCTGGGGAGGCTCTTGCCCCAAAATCTTGGCCTTTTGCCTCCCTTCAGGTTGCTGACATGGCTTGGACAGATCTGGCTCACTGGTGGTTGCTTCCTCATCCTGCTCTTGGGGCTCCTCCGCTGTGCTCTCAGCTGGCAGGCGCTCTGCCTCCTGGCTGGGCTCCACTCTGATTTCCTTCTCATAGTTCTCATCCTCCCAGACAGACTCAAAATCCTCTGGACTAGCGATCATTTTTGCTCTCATCCGGGTATCCATGGCTGCATCTGTTGGGTCTTCCTACTGGTGGTTGCTTCCTCATCCTGCTCTTGGGGCTCCTCCGCTGTGCTCTCAGCTGGCAGGCGCTCTGCCTCCTGGCTGGGCTCCACTCTGATTTCCTTCTCATAGTTCTCATCCTCCCAGACAGACTCAAAATCCTCTGGACTAGCGATCATTTTTGCTCTCATCCGGGTATCCATGGCTGCATCTGTTGGGTCTTCCTGCCACTTCCTTTTTTTACTGCCACTTCTGCTTTCGATATGCTCGCACTCATCTTCACGTCTGAGGTACCTGCATGTGCTTCTTCTTTCTTGACTCCCAGAGCTTTCTTTAGAGCTACCGTTTCCAGCCTAGGAATTTCTCTCTCTATAAATACCCAATGCTCCGAGCCCTGCATTGCAATTGGAGCAAGAAGAGTTAGCATCAAACATATTTTACCTAACTCCTGATGACTACTGTCATGAGTAACAGAAGGCTGATCTGCCTTGGAAAGGGCTGACTAAATTATTAGTATTCATGCAAGAGTTGAGGCAGGGTCTATACAAAGAGCCTGGCAACTTGCTAATGAAGAGAAGGGACTGAAAATAAGGGGGTTGATACTGTGATGGGGACTGA